TGAATTTTAAACTTGTAAAATTCTAGGGTTTAGAATTTAAATATTTCAAAATTAAACTTTTAATAAAAAATTTTAATTCCAAAACTTGAGGGCAAGTTTTGAAACTTTTCAAAACTTTCTAGATCAAACTACAAATAATTTAATTAAACAATTAATTAGTGATTATCTAAATTTGATCTAATTCGATTACATGGCAAAATAATGCAATCAAATAATTCAAATAATTAAAATTATCATATAAGGCAATAATTATCTAATTAATTGGCAATTATCTTCTATTTTGATAAGGATAATCATATCAATTTAATAAAAATTTGATTTTATTAATCAAAAACGTTTTTGGTAATTATCCCAATCCAAAATAGGCCAAAATCCCGAAAGATATGCTCTCTGACTCTCCGACTCGCCGAGTCACAGACTGGACTCGTCGAGTTCATCAGGTGACTCGACGAGTTCAACTGTCAGAGGGCAGAAATTTCGATTTTTCAAGCAATGAATGATTAAACAAGGCATCAAATACAATACAAAAACAGCCGAGGCTCTGATACCACTGATGGATTTTGAGCATTACATCAATCCTATGGTGCACATGAAAACCCTAAATCTTGGATCTAGGTTTCTCTAATTGTACATGCAAACCATCCAAAGCTTGTAAACCCTAATTCTAGCATAGAAAAATCGAAAAATCATAACTAAACTAGGGTTAAGAAATTATCTTTCAATTGTAGCTTGAAGATCTTGAGCTTTGAGAACCTAGCACATCAAATGCGATGCCTCTAATGAATCACAAACACCAAAGCAAGTTGGATGATCTTGGAGAGAGGGGAAGGAGGCTCAAAATCGGCTCAATGATCTCTAGGGTTCAAGTGGTAGCCGATTTGTGAAGCCATAGGGTCCTTTATATAAGTGAGCTGCTAGGGTTTCAGTCAAAACCCTAATTTGATTGCTTAGGCCTTAAGCAGTCCACAAGAACATTCCAAAAACAAGGCCTTGGACGAAATCAATGTGGGCTTTCCCCTTGATTTGGTCCACCCCATTTCTAAGGGATCCACAACCCAAAATCCAATTATCTTATAATTTCAATTCTAGTCCCTATGTTCAATTAATATCTTTTGATCACAAAATTAATTCTCAATTAATTATTGACCAATATTAATTAACCAATATGATTTCTCTTTTAATATATTATTCATATAATATATTAATAAACCATAATAACCTCTTTCTCCATTAATCATCCAGTCAAGTTGCTCTGATGAAGGCAACCCAAAAGGACCATGCTACAACCGGGTCAAGTACATACCAAATATAGTTATGGGCTTACACACCTAATCCAACAAGTTCCTTCACTGTACTCGTGGGTCGAAGGCACCAATGTCGGCCTACTAGATTATGTTTGTAGGATGATAATTGTTTTTGTGACACTTATTATGCATGTATGTGCTCCTTGCTTTGTGACTCTTGTTGATATGATTGTATGCTTAGCTGTAGGGGTGAAATAGACCCGATACCGGTTGAAAGAGACCGAAGGGGGTGAAATAGACTTGCTACCGGTTGAAAGAGACCAAAAGGGTGAAATAGACCTGATATCGGTTAAAAGAGACCGAAGGGGGGTGAAATAGACCAGGTACTGGTTGAAAGAGACCAAATGGGGTGAAATAGTGTTGGGTTTTATGTACTCTAACATCCCTATGGTTCACATACAAACCTAATGCTTTGGATCTAACTTTTCTCTAATTATACATGCAATATTCATTTTCCAAAGCATGAAGCCTAACTAGCATGCAAAGGTGATATTTGAATCATAAAAACTAGTTAGAAGATTACCTTGTGTAGTAGCTTGTAGAATCTTGGCCTTAAGAGAGCTTAGCACCTCAAGCGTGATGCCTCAAACAAGTCACAAACACCAATAAACAACTAGATGAATATGAGAGAGGTTTATGAGACTATGAAATCGGTTAGCTCTTCTTAGAATGCAAGGGTCATCGATTTTAGGGCTTAGGGTATACATTTATAATGTAGAATTCCAAGAGTCATATGTTTAACCCTAATTCTTACACTTAAGATTATGATCTAACAATTTATTTGGACTAACACTTTAAGGACTAACTCATAAGCTTAGCCCATCACAAATCATTCATGGACCATTAGCCTAAATCATATGTATCATTGATTTACATAATCAGTCCCCATTAATTTAATTAGTCTCTTTTTGATCACTAATTAATTCTTGATCAATACTAATTAAATAATATGATTTCTCAATTAATATATTATTCTTATAATATATTAATAAATAAAAAATAACCTCTTTCTCAAATATCCATCTATCAAATTGTTTTGGTGAAGGCAACCCGAAATGGACCATGCTACTATCGGGTCAAGTACATACCAATTATAGTTATGGGCTTAGACACCTAATCCAACAGTCTCCCACTTGGATAAGTCTAATAACTATAATTGCTAATGCAACTTCAAAATCCGATTAGCAATCGTAGCTCTCCAAAAGCCGTTGTCGAACTCTGATGTGTCCATTAGATAAGGGATCATATAATCCTCTTCTCTTCAGAGATATCGTGTGGACAAAGACATGGAATAAAGTTATACTCATTGTCCAACAGTTTTTTTCCCGATTTCTGATTTGTTTGACATAGAACTTAATTAAACACATCAATTGAGTCCTGAGCGGGCCCGACACATAAGTCAAAACAAAATCATTGAGGGGCCCAAGATATCACTTTTAATCCTCTTAGGATAAAAGGAACAAATAAACTTTGACTTATATGCTTGTACTAACTACTCGTTAAATCATACACAACATCACGCTTTATAACATCAAGTTACTGATGCGTTTTCGTACTATCAATGCACAACAAACTTGTAGTCAACAACTCATATATCTTGGTTTGAAGACTATACGATATTATCATCTCACAATCACTCGTGATAAATTCCA